TCACTGATTTGATAAAGAATGGGGCAGCATTATTAAGGTAATTAACTTAATTACCTTATTTATATTCATATATATCTTGTTTAATTATTTCTTTCATTTTAATTCATTTAACATGCTTTAATTTGTGATTGTTTTATTTATTTAGCATTATACTTCTGGATGCTTCTTTTTAGAAATGTAAAATATTTGTTAATTGTTTTCATTTTCTTATATATATGCAAATTTAATCATATTTAGTAATGTATAATTATTCTCACAATTAAAATATCATAAAAGGTCAAAAAATTAAATAAATAATAATTGTATATAATTAATAATATTAATTTTGAATTATATTAGTATATAATTTTTTTCCAATTTATTAAATAATTGGATTTTTTTATCTGGATATCTATTTCGATCAAGCGACTTGACCGAAATAGATAGAAAGATTCCTGCCCCCACCGGCTTCAAATTTCCCTCCACTGAGAGAAAATTTGGTTTTTTTAAATCTGAGAATATATTTCGGTGAAGTTAAATGACCGAAAAACATTGAAAGTTTTTCGGTTTCCCTCCCATTTGGAAATATGGTTCGGTCAAGCTACTTGATTGAAAAATGCAGTGAATTTTCGCAAAACCCACCGTATGTTTCGATCAGTACAATTAACCGAATAGTTACTGGATTTCCCAAATTCTGCAATATATTTCGGTCAATTCAATTGACCGAAATAATTAGTAAATTGAGCAAAATCTACAATATATTTCAGTCAAGGAAAATGATCGAAATATGAAGGGAATTTTCATTAAATTTTTTTCATGTTTTTCGGTCATTAAAATTGACCAAAATAATTAACTTAAATACCAGAAATAGCCCTCTCTCTAGTTCGGTCAAGTTACTTGTCCGAATGTAATATTTAATAACTGACTATTTTAAGGATTTTTTCGGTCAATTATATTAACCGAATTAATGAAATATTTCGGTCAAGCTAAAATTTTCTCCGAAATACTATTTCGTACAGAGGGCATTTGAGCCAACATTTCAGTTAATAAGCTTGACCGAAATATTGTTTATTCGGTCAAAATGTGGTCTTTTTTGGTCATAATGCTTGACCGAAAAAGGGTGAAATTGTAGTAGTGATGGTCAGTATATCTTTTATTTTGACGTTTGTTC